TTATTAATCTATCTGCAGTGATATGAGGTAGTGCATAAAATTAAAGTGTGAATGCAAATTTATTCAGGCTCAAGGAGCTGTGAGTTCACTTTTCACTTTTCACAGTTCACTTTTATAATTTAGGATGAACTGCTGTTCATACCAGTTCCCTAGTTTGAAATACCGCTTTCACACCAACCGAACTAACTGATGACAAACAAACTGCTCTGGAAAGCTGTAGCGTGAAGTGCATATTGATTCCATGTCACCTAGAAACAAGGCCCAGCAGTTTCAGGTGACGTGATGGAGCTGCGGCTAAGAGAGCCACACAGCAATCATTCAAATCTATAGTGATCTATTGACTCACAAATGCCACCTAAGTGATACCGCCATATGGGAAAAGGCAGAAAACAAGACCACAAAAGAAAATAAACCATTTAAAAAGGCACCAAGGAGCACAATCGGTGATTATGAGCACATGGTTTTAACACCTCACTCCATTTATATCATGAATGCATTAAGACAGACAGATCTAATTATGTGATCTCCTTCTAGTGAGAGTGGATTTCTGAAGGACTCCGATAATCCTTAGGGAGAAGATGATATTGGAGTGAAAACCGGTTATTAGTGTTATCACAGTAGATTTTGGAGGTGATTAAAAACTAGAACTGGACATAAAATTGCAGAAAGGGCAATGTCGGTAAACTTTCAATTAACCTGTGAAATTGCTTTGGCTGTTTCATGTTCCAATATTTACTGACCTATGACAACAAATCCAACAGTATAGTAGTTGGGTAATCACACATTTAAAGAGGCTGCACGTGGTTTGGTTTCATTTCAGTGGTGCACTATTGTAACAAATCATTTCTCACAACTGGAAATGTTGCATAGGTTGCAAACCTTGTGTGCTTTGATGTCTAATGGTCCATACTGAGTACTCATTATATCATCCTGACCAGCAAAATGCATTAAAATTCGTAAGAACATACGAGGGTTTAAACAGCAAGGCCAATTGCTTTCATTAATCCACGAGGGCTGTCAAATTATGGATTACAGTACATGATACCTTTGTTAATGGCTCAGTTATTTGAGGTAAGGCATGATGTAATACATCGTATGCATCTGAGGTGAGAAGATTTTTCTTTTGGCAGCTACTTTTTTCAGAAGGTTGCTTTTAAATTTTTTCATTTTAGTGAACCAACATAAACAACATAGGAAAGCAACCACTCTCCATCTCTATATCTCCTTTATTTAGCCTCATTTACAAGGAAAATGTGTGTGCATCTTTACAAATGTGCTTATTTGGAAATCCAATGGGTGTGTGGGAAGACATAAGGAAGTTCGTTTAAATTAAATATTGCTTCTTCTTTTTTTTTCTTTTTTTTTACGGGTAACCGTATTGCAAATTAAAGCCATCAAGTTTTTACTCTTTTTCATGCATCAACAATTAGGAGTAGGAGTGCATGTATTAGCATTTTCAGGAAATGTTGGTTATGTGTTGAAGGCATGCCAGTGTGTTTTTACTTGCCACATTCCACTCTTTGTGGAATGTGTATCTAGATGCTTAATTTAATATGTTAGCAAAGGTTTTGGTTTGTTCAGGTGGTTTTTATGAGTTCTCACTACATTTATGCATTTATGTGGAATTTCATCGAAACAGATTTTGCATTGGGTGTAAGTTCATGCACTTCCTAAGTTCCACTATCTTGCTGTTACGTTTACATTCACATTTATATTTAGCACACACTTTTATCCAAAGCAACTTACGTTGCATTCAAAGTATACAGTTTATCAGTTCATGCATTCCCTGGAAACGTGCTGTTACTAGTACATTGCTTGCCCTACTGTTTGAACTACAGGAACACTATTTCTTAACTTTGCCTGATAGGATAGACCGCCTTGGAAAACATTCAGGTGTCGGAGCATGAATGCATTGGTTTTTCTAATGCAATGTGTATGTTCAGTGTATGTTCTGGAGTAAGCTGAAACTACAAAGCAGGACAAGTGAACAAAGTGCATGGCATTATCATTTGTTGTTTAACAAATATTGCTATATAGCAGATATAACTATAAGATGTAGTTATATCAACTGAAAAAAAAAATTTAAGTAATAGTTCACCAATAAATTACAAATTGTTGCAAATACTCACCCTCAGGCTATAGACGACTTTTTGTCTTCATCTGAACAGATTTGGAGAAATTTAGCATTTCATCATTCGCTCACCAATGGATGCTCTGTAGTGAATGGGTGCCATCAGAATGAGAGTCCAAACAGCTGATAAAAACATCACAATAATCCACAAGTAATCCACATGACACATGTTTTTATCAGCTGTTCATCACGTCTAATTGTGTGTAGAAAAAAAATCTTAATATAAATTAAATATCTTATAGTAAATTATAAAAATATTTGTTATATTTGTTTTGGCTTAAGTGTCACAGAAAGTGAATTATTTAATTTTGTAAACAAGTTGTACTACACTTCTCACACGGTATAAATGAGTCTTGAAATGAAAATAAATAGCTGCCTTTATATTGTAAATAGGGGTCACTCACAAAAGTATATTCAATTCTGGGATTCATTGGTATCAAAAACTTTGAAAACCCTTGTCCAAAAACCGTTGGCTCTGGGATAAGCATATAATATTTTTTTTGCTGAAGTTTTATAGACCAATAGAGTCTTTGCTTGTTCAATTAAATTGGCTTTTCTGGATTAAAAAAGAAAGCAAATGGAAACAGTGTTAGGTTAACTGGGGTTACATTTATTCTTTGGGACTTCATAACGTACAGCCAAAGATTTTGCATTGGGCTCTCTTTTTATAAATGGTTGATTGATTCCAGGCTTTGTTTTTTAGGGGCAGTCATTCACTTTAATTTGAAATGGGATTTGGTGTCTAACAACAAACAAACAGGAGAGGAAAAAGTGCAGAGGGAATATCAATTCTAATATCGTCAAAGGATGTTTAATCCTCTCAGACATGACAAAGCACTGAGACATGAACGAGGACAAAACATGCTGATCAGCTAATTGTTGTACATCCCCTCAATAACCTCACCTGATCTCATTCAGCTGAGCCCAGCGCTTGAGGTCTTTAAAGGGAGGGAAGGTTCGAACTCGCACCCATTTATTGCTTTCCCGGCTCCATTTAGATGTCTCTGAAGACCTCTGAGCCCCCATTTTAACCTTCAATTATAAATTAAGCTGTTGAGGTAAAACGTGTTTATGGGCTAAATGTGGCCAATTTAATTTGAAATGGGATTTGGGTCGAAATGTCTTAGCAGCAAACATGCATAATGTTCTTTATTCTCACCGTTATTAGGTTAGACACTAGCGTCTTGAGGTGCAGAGAGCACTGTACGTATACCTGAACTAATAAAACTAGAACAATATGCCAATATCTGGATTAATGGCAGACTTGAGATACAGTGCTTATAAAATACTTTTTCATGTTTAGTGGCTTTACAGCAATGAATCACACTGGACTTCTTTAGGCTTTTTTGACACTGATCAACAGAAAAAGTCTATAAAGGCATTTCAAATAATACTGAGTATAAAATCCAAACTAATTAATTTCATAAGTATTCACCCCCCTTAAATGACACGTAAATAAATCAAATTAATAGTTAAAATTACTTGTGTGCAGTCAGAGAGTTTCAGCTGATTGTATAAAAGCAACTCTGTCTGGGAGCTCCAACTTCTGGTGAGTCAATATTGTGGCAAACCTTACATCAAGTCGAAAAAAAAAAACCTCTAAGCAATTCAGCGGAAAAAGTAATTGAAAAGCACAAGTCAGGGAACGGCTACAAGAAGACTTCAAGAAGTCATTGAATATCCCTTGGAGTATAGTTAAATCAATAATTAAGAAATGGAAAGAGCATGGCAGTGCTGTAAATCTACCTAGAGCTGGCTGTCCTCAAAAAACCGAGTGACCGTGGAGGACACTAGTGATTAGTGAGGGAGGTCACCAAGACCAGCTGGAAGAGATGTCATCTGAAGAGACCAAAATAAAGCTTTTTATCCATCAAACTAAACACACGTCAGCCAAATACAACATATATTTTGTGAAGCATGGTGATGGCATGCTGTTGGGATGCTTCTCTAGAGCAAGACCTTGAAGGCATGTGAGGGTATGAAAAGTGCAAAATACAGGAAAATCCTGCAGGAAAACCACAAGACTCCTATGACTTAAAACGATATTTGTTTTGCTGAAAGAAGCATGCCATTTTGAAAGAAGAATGGAGAAACACTGCCATTGCCAGTGAAACCTATCCATTTAAATGAAAGTCTGAAATTGCTGTCATCCACTTGATGGGGGTGAATACTTATGCAAATTATTGTTTAATGTTCATTAAATGTAAATTTTCACTGACACGAAAGAATATTCCTAGTCCAAAGCTAAATAGATGTTGTTAATGTTCATGTCCTGGTGTAGCAAGATCAGTCAATCCAATTTATGGACGGACTTGAAAAGTGCAGAAAGAAACATGCAGTTTGCAGTTTTGAAAGACGAATGGAGAAGCATTTTAGTCACCAGTGACCCACAAACTGCTGCTACTTAATTGGGGTGAATGCAAAGCAGAATTAAACATGAAAAGTACTTTTTATAGGGAGTGTACCGCTTCAGCGTATACTTAATCTCACAAAAACGGTCAAGAGATATCTAATATTTATTGTCATATTTTACCCCCCAAACAAAACAAGAAATAATTTTTGGATAAAGAAAATAAAGCCTATTTTTAGGACCATTGAGGTTTTTCAAAGAAGTCCTATATCACTTAGCCTTACAAAAACTGGCCTTTCTTAAGTTTGTGTTCTTTAAAAAAAAAGTCTCCCACTGCAAAGCCCACAGCTGCACTATTTATGAAGAATTTTGAAACTAATTTCTCCTCCAAATCCCAAAACACTGGCAGAAATGACTGTCTACAGCCAATTTTTAGAGACCTACATACTTTCAAAAGACAGTAACTAGTAATATATAATGTATTACATTTTGGAAGTAACTTGCCCAACACTGATAATCAAGGTGCCTAAATATTTCATAGTATTACTAATCCCAATTTCCACCAGCACAGCACAAAAGTCAATGACTATTAGACAACTGAGCAAGAGAGAGAGACATAAAAGTGCATAAGAGAAACCCCAAGTACAAGGCATTTAAATTTGACAAGACAAAAATATACTGGCCAAAAGCATAATTGGATATCCTTTGTTTCATTGAAGGGGGGGAAAGTTCCAGTTGGATGGTCTGTCCTCCATTCTTTGTCCATCTACTGCCCTCAAGTGGTAGTTTTTAAAGGACAACATACATACACTGATAAAGAAGTGACAGTGAAGTAGAGGAATAACAAACAATATAACCACCACCCTGCTGGGAAAATTATTTCATGCTACATTTTACAAAATACTTAGGGGGAAAAAAAAGATGAGATTGATGAAATATTTTATTTTTCTTACAGAACACAATTGAAGAAGATACTTTGCATGTTTGTGAAAGTTAGTCCGCCTCATATGTAAGCTGGGTGCATTTTGAAGGCCTCAAGGCCAAACTAACTGACTGTGTAGGCCTCATGGCCTGCGGTACAGAAGGAAGTACCAAAGATGGGAGATGCCACAGGATGAGATAGTGTGGAAATAGATAATGTGTGTACAACTCTTTAAAATCCTGACAGCTCACTAAAATGTATCTGCCTTTGTAACCTTGAGCACCTGGAAAGTGGTAGATAAGAGAAGTTCTTTTGAAAAACAGACTAGCAGGTGTTTTTCTACAATGAAATTAAGCATTATGAAAACTAAAACAACCGTGGAAAAGTACTGGGAATGACGCATCAACAAGTGGTCTCTACGCTCATTGGACAGCGACCGTCCGATAACAAAATTGTATAAAGATGGTATCCTGGACAAAGAAAGATTCAGATGTTCTGCAGTTATCTCGGCTTTGTTGTCTTCTTGCAATAAAGTCTAATTTTGACTTCTGGAACTCTGCCTCCTGAGCATTATTTTGCAAGACAGACTTTTCTCCACTTGTTGATCACATGTTATGAAGTCAAAAACCAACCTTTTTAATATTGCATTAATCGTCATATAGGTTTCCAGTTACAAGCAGGATAAATATACAAATACATGACAGATGACAATAGAGTGCATCTATACGACAATCTGAACATCATTTATATTGCCATCATATGATGGAATAGGGTCCAAACTCATGGAATCATAGTCCAAAAATATGAAAAGCATAAACTCGCGGTCTGTTTTCCAACATATTCTCCATCATGTCCATGTCTTCCCATATTACAGAGCCATAATGAAGCGTCTGACTTGTTTTAGGTACTCTGGCTTCAGGAAGTCCTGGAGTTCATCCTTTTTTACCCAGGCAAATGAATTCTTCTCCAGAGGTAAGTGCTTATGGCCGGATAGCAACGCTTTGAAAAAGAACACCTTGGCTCCAACACTGCCCTCTTTCTGAATGTCCTTTGGGTATTTATATTTGTAAAATCCACAGGGTGCATTGCCAAGGAAAGTGGCCTTTAGATCAGCACCTACAGAGGACAAATTAAACAGAAGCTTAATAATTTAACCTGCAGCCCATTCGCTTTAAGAATTACAGTCTTGAATTTTGGCACTGAATTTTTCTTTAACCAGAAAATTTAATCATGTTTCATTTACATTTTTCTTGCCCTGTAAACAGCTTATTAAAAATGTTTGATTATCAGCTCTTCTTAAAAGCTGACATAAACTCTCCAGTTAAAACTGACCAACCTGAAGCTGTCTAAATGACTAGTACAATATAAGCATCAGAATCAGACAGAGCTGTATTGCCAAGTATGTTTGCACACACAAGGATTTTATTTTGATGACAGAATAAGCTTCCAATACACAGAGACAACAACACAGATAATAAAAATTAAGATATGTGAATAAAATACACATATGTATATATGTATAAATAAACAAAATAGACAAATTTGTATGTACCTGGAAGACTTGCAAGAGCACGTTCGGCCGTCTGTCGAAGTGTCTCTCCCGTCTGCCACTGTATCTGAGGCAGGAGCCAAAGCTTTTGACTGCCAACATCCTTCTTCACCAGCAAGATCAGGCTTTCTGCTAAACAACGCTCTGAAGAACTCACGCCTTTCTCGTCAACACCTGTAATTTGTGTACATTCAACATGTTTTATAACTCTGAAATGTCTTTAAAAACACGACTTGCATCAAAGCAATGATTTAATCTGATTTTTTTTTTAAAAAGACATTATCACTGCCGATATCATGCTTACCTTGTGATCTCTGAGCTGGTTGATATTGCTTCAGTTTTTGTTCCCAAATATCTTCCAGATCTTGGGCTGTGAAAATGTCTTTGTCTCTATAATCCTCCTCCTCTTCATCTGATTCCTCTTCTTGTTTTCGGCTCATCCGTGCAGCGTCCTCCAGGAGCCTCAGCTCATGGTCCGAAAGCAGACTTCTCTCTAACTCCATCTGAAACAGTAAGTTATGCTGGTTATAGGTGGCTCATGGCGAGCAGATTAATGGATGGGCAGCATTATAAGGATAGGCTTGAAGGGCAGAGCACAATATTAAGATACATACAGACACACAGCCTCAAAATATGCTACATAGCACACTAAAATTTGAAAAATAAAAGAAATTATATGTATGTAAATGGTGCCATCACCAACTACACCATCCGAAAACATTATATGAGCATGGTGTATTTAAAATAATTATAATATTAGTAACCCTGGTCCACAAAACCAATCTTAAGTAGCATGGTGTCATATGATGTCAAAAATACATCATATGGGTCAAAATGATCGATTTTTCTTTTATGCCAAAAATCATTAAGATATTAAGTAAAGATCATGTTCCATGAAGATATTTGGTAAATTTCCTACTGTAAATATATCAAAACTTAATTTTTGATTAGTAATATGCATTGCTAAGGACTTCATTTGGACAGCTTTAAAGGCGATTTTCTCAATATTTTATTTATTTATTTATTTTCTGCACCCTCAGATTCCAGATTTTCAAATAGCTGTATCTCGGCCAAATATTGGCCTATCCAAACAAATCATACATCAATAGAAAGCTTATTTATTCAGAAAAATGTCGAAAAATTAACCCTTATGACAGGTTTTGGTCACATTATATATTTCATGTCAAATATTGATTCGTTCATACCTGGTGCATTAGCTCCATGAACTCGTCCTCAATAGGGCTCCTATCTTGAGAGACCACAGGCAGCCGCTGCAGACAAACGGCTCCATGCAGCGCCCACGGAGACGCGACACCCGCAGTTTTTACATTTTGCGCAGACCACTGTTGCCTAGTGGACGAAACATTTCGCACGCCTTTGTTTAATGTAGTTGTAGTTATTATTCTCCATAATGGTCTATAAACTCTAGTGAAGGGCGCCGCCATCTTGACCGCACGTGTTCCCGTAGTGCTTTGCGGAGTTTGTCAAATAGACGCGACTATTTCGAAAATAGGGGGAACCAGTTTAAGTGAAAAAAGGTTTGGCGGTATTTGCAAAGGTCATTTAATGAAAGTAAAGAAGCACTATAGTTATATTATCTGTTATTACTATATGAAACCTAATTAAAAAATACTTTACGTCACATTCGATACGCTAGCGTCTAAAATTTAATTAAAAACACCCCTCTGAAATTTAGTATGACGTTTACATTAAACACACTGTACGCGACCCTCAGTGTCCGCCAAGCTACCTAAAGTCATGTGTGTGTGTTTGTGAATAAACTGCATGATTTAAACACACACTATGTATCTTAGGTTATATAGCCTCATTCGAGGTTCGTGTCAGCAGCTTTTTGAGCCCTTGAATTCATCTGGACGGATAATGTAAGTAGCTTATGTGGTTGTTATAGCAGCCCATCTGATAACGTGTTTGATATTTGTGTGACAGACAAATATCCTCCACTGTTAACGTAATGTTTTGTGTTGACGCTATATTTAAGTCAACACAACAATCATATAAAAAAGTTGACATAATATTAATCTGGTTTTTGATTATGGTTTCGTACTACTACTGTTATGCCATTTTTTTGGACATGGTACTGTGGTAATACCATGTTTTTTTGGACATGTACCATATTAATAATGTTTTGGGGGTTTTTCTCACCATCTAACATGATTATACTGTGGTGTTCTTTGACGTACCTCCTAAGTATTATTATTTTTACTGTAAGTGAAAAGTTTACAGACACATACTCATTCTATATTACTACTTTTTTCCACATTTTACATTAATAGCGAAGTAATCAAAACTATGAAATAACACAAGATAAAAGGTCTTCTATTTGAGCTTCTTCAAACTAAGTCATCACCATATGTGTCTAGAGACCAGCTTTGCACACTCTGGATGTATTTTGTTACTAAGGGACCTAATTGGTTGTTGTCTCCTGCAGTGGGGGAAATGTTGGGCTTCAGCATCCGCTGTCAAGCAGTGCCATGCGATTACAAGAGGCTGATGCCAAACCAGTAGAAACCAAGAAGCCATCAGCCCCTGTCAAAAGACTGAAAGAGTATGACAGAAACAGTGACACACACCTGCTTTCAAATATAGTTTTAACCCAGGGTCTCCCAAACCTTTTAGTCAGTTCTTAGGATATAAATTATCACATAAATTAACCCCAGAGATTTTAAATAATAAATGGATTGTAATACATTTTAGGATTCTTTCATGAATAAAAAGTCGAAAGAACAGCATTTATTTAAAACAGACATTTTTGTAACATTATAAATGTCTTTACTGTCAATTTTATTCAATTTAATGCATCCATGCTCAATAAAAGTATTAATTTCTTTAAAATCCTAAACTTTTGAGTGATAGCGTATCACAGTTTCTGCAAAAATAAAATTATATATATATATATATATATGTATATGTATGTGCGACCCTGGACCACTAAACCAGTCATAAGGGTACATTTTTCGAAATATTTCTGAATAAATAAGCTTTCCATTGATGTATGGTTTGTTAGGATTGGACAATATGTGGCCGAGATACAACTATTTGAAAATCTGGAATCTGAGGGTGCAGAAAAAATCAAAATATTGAGAAAATCGCCTTTAAAGTTGTCCAAATGAAGTCCTTAGCAATGCATATTACTAATCAAAAATTAAGTTTTGATATATTTACAGTAGGAAATTTACAAAATATCTTCATGGAACATGATCTTTACTTAATATCCTAATGATTTTTGGCATAGAAGAAAAATCAATAATTTTGACCCATACAATGTATTTTTGGCTATTGCTACAAATATACCCAAGTGACTTAAGACTGGTTTTGTGGTCCAGGGTCACAAATGTATTTCCATTTCTTACAGCCTCATTAATTAAACGTTTCTCATTTTCCTTAGTAGAGGTTTGTGTACTTGGATGGCAGAGGGAAAAGACACGCCACAACAATCAAACAAGAGATTTACTTGATACTATCAGTTTTATTCAGCCAAAAACCTTCATACATTGTTCACTTCTTCACTCGACTAAATACAGGATTTACAGGATTATATACAGGATTATACTGGAACCACGTACCGGTTTTTATTGTATGGGTTATCTGATACTTGAATAAACTAAACCAATGCTATCTTAAATGCACCTAGCTAGACTCTCAAAAAGATCATCAGCACTGTGGTCAGTATTATAGTGAGAACAGTGAGTATTATTATTATAATTATTATATAATTAATGACTGTTCACTACAAAGTAATTATTATATCAACTGAAATTAAAACCGACAAATTACATGCACTATACACACACACACACACACACACACACACATGTTTGTTTTTGTGAATTGTTGGGACATTCCATAGGCATAATTGTTTTTATACTGTACAAACTGTATGTGCTATTGCCCTACACCTAAACCTACCCTTACAGGCAA